GTTTTGAAGATAAGGTTACTTGGCAAAATTGTTTTGTTCATACGCCTTCTGACAAGCACTAGTTACTGACGAGAATGTTCATTCATTCTCTCGTTGCAGGAAATAGCCCCTAAATTGAGCATGGACAGTAGCCAGGAGGCTTCAGTTGCATGGAAAAATTCGGAATTGAATTTAAAACTGTAAACTGACGAGTGGAAACAATTCCTTCAGTAAAGGAAACGAAATAGGATTGAATAATGTCATTCATAACAGGGTTTTTTCGTAGTCAGTACAGCACATGGAGAGGTTGCGGTGATATGTTTTGTGGCTCTTCCAAAATATTTTCTGTACAAGAAGTTGATCATTATACCCCAAACATCCCTTCCTTGCTCCCTTCTGCTCACTATAAAAGTATGTCATTAGAAGAGCAGTAAGATGGCACGAGGTTTGTCAAAGACCCTGTGAATGTTTTATACTGAGTATTCAAACATGACATAGGGCGGAAGTTTTCGGGATCAGTCAAGTGTCCTTTTAGGGGAAGGAGTATTGTGCGACCTTTGCAGAACCATGGAGGGACATCGTCTCTGTCCACGGAGAACTGAAACAGTGAAGTAATGGTTTTGGACAGAGGGGATCAGTTTCCAGTACTGGTTTCCGAATGCCATCAGGCCCAGGAGCTGTATTGAATTTGGACTTTTTGATAACACTTTTCAGGCCATCTGGTGAGATGTAACAGACAAACGACCCAGTTATTTTCTCATGCATTTGCGTGATCGTAATCCGCGGACCTATGGTGTCTCAAGGTTACAGTCGTATCGGATTTGCCGAGGATCAAACACTACCCTCCTATAGCAGATACTATATCTGAAAACTGTCTGAGTACTTTGACAACACCCGATAGGTCTCTTGGATTTCGACATATTGATATTCAATGGAGTGAAGAGCTTTATCGTCTCTTTCAATCTTATCATCTGTCTTCTGACATAAAGAAACAGAACCATATAAGGAAATAAACTGATTTACAACAACGCGAGCATAATACGGAATAATTTCCCAATAGATTTTAATCCAAATATTTCTTTACTCGTGCAGGTATTCGTTGATGCCATGTTGCACTCTGGGAGGAGAGGTAGAAATAAAACATCGCAGCACTGTAAATCGCGTCGCGGAGCACATTATTTATTATTAAATACATGTATTTATATAGCGCACATATCCACGCAACTAGTGCATGCTCAAGGCGCCGGTATTTTTTCCCTCGATCATTGGATGTCACGGCACATCGTATTATCAGTCTCAGCAACCTGGGGAGTATACAACTCTTGCTGCCACTAGGCGCACCGAGTTATTGTGGCTTTCCTCATCCTAACGAGGTATCCATTCACAGCTGGGTGGACTGGGACACATAGTCACAGTACTTTGTCCAAATTCACTGCACGTTGCTGTACCCGCAATTAGGTGTTTGCACGTATTCATGTGGCCACCATCTGGTCATATACCAACGGATTCGTGGGTTCCTTTAAGTGCAATGGGTTGTGTACTGCACACAGGGGGTGGTGACAACACTGAAAGAGTCTGCACACAAAGTTGACTCCTGGGTTTCACACCCGGTCACAGGTGGGCTCGATCCCGGCACCTCAACCTCGCTGGATCACTAGCCAGGCGCCTTAGCCAGCCTCGCCTACCGCGCCCCATGGATATCTGCATCTGTACAGATGAATGCTCCACTAAATCACCATGATGACGAGGACCCTGCTTGTGGAAGAACGTACCAGAAAAAGTACTTAATATTTTGTATTTTTAAAACGGATATATCGAGAAGCCTCCTTACTGTTTTTCAGAAACGGTCCAAAATGTGTCGATATAATAGAACGTTCTCGCTGTTTGTTCTCGCCATTGTGGTCCATTGGACGCTACTCGTAGCAGCTTATCTTTAAACGATAGTGTAGGATGAATCACACAGTTGTACTCGGGTGGGTTCGAATCTTTGTGTATATTCGTTTATATTCAAGACCCTAGATGTAAAGGGAAATCACCTGTTTCGCGTCGATTGATGAAGGACTGTGTGAAGCTCTTTCAACAGCCGAGAATGGCGTCTATCTGTGATGTCAACTGTCAGTTGTAAAGGCTGGCCCATCCACCAAGTACACCAACCACTCCCTGTGTATTCTTCAACAGTACAAGTTCTTGATAGTGCACAGGGCCTAGATTTTCGAAGCTCTCTTAGAGCTAAGACAGTCGTAAGTGCCATTCATTAACATCTCGATACATCATGATGCTGACTGGTCACATGTATGAGTCAAGCATGGAAACCTACCCTGGTTTCACTGATGACACAGATAAAATTCGAAGGTCCGTGATCATCGGCGACCAAATTGTCAGAACACTAAATACAGATACATAATTTGTCGATTTTTTAACGTAGACGTGTGTGTTTTCGCCATGTTGGATCAACGGATCAAAGGGTCAATTGGGTCCAGAGATCAATGGGTCCAGAGATCAAGGGGTCAAGACCTTGAAGAAGGACTGTGTGAAGAGAAACAGCCATGAATGGGGTGTACTACAAAGCCGTCCCGCTCGGACATAACTGACAAATCACCAATGATCAGTCTGAAACATCGCCGATAAACCTAGACTTGAACTAATTCCGTCATACACTACAGTATTTATAAGAAGTCCATTTACACCACGTATATTTCAAACTGAGCTGCGATGTTTGTAGTCCTGGGCTGCTCATACATTTTAACATCACATGAGAAATGGACCAGATCTCGTAGGTGTGAAAAAATGTCAACAAATTCAGATTTTACGATGTATAGGATTTTGTCCTCTTTGCTTGATTCATTCTTCTTTGCGTTGCATACTTTTGCAACATTCTAGTGGGATATGCATGAGATTCATGAGACGAATATTAAATAAGTGTACTTCAAATCAGCTGCCATACACATATGCCTGAATTACTCGTACATTTCGGAATCACGGGGATTTCAATGGTCCGAGGAAATATATCAGGTAGGAAAACGGAAAAGCAACGATTGTACAATTCTGATTATGTCATGAGTATGTGTTTGTTTGACGCCACATTCAACAGTTTTACAGCCGTACGACCAAACAAGCTAGTGATTGACACCATGAAATACGATTACAGATCACCTGTTTATGAATCACTATGAAATAGTGATGACACCAGGTGTTCGCGAAAAGGTGAGCGTATCCTGCCCCACCGTTGGCACTCGTCTTAAACATATTACTTCGAGTCAACTGTTCACCGGGGAGAAAACTCTGGAACGCACAGTATTTGTAAGTCAAAATAGGGATTGCATCGGACATCATTTTTGTCACTGATGCATGAAACTTTGCCCTCCACATGTCTACCACAACACTTTTGAAAGCTTTACTGATCGCTTGAATGTTGTAACCCTGCTCGAACAAGTTCTGAGCAAAGGTCGAATGACGTCTCTGAAATCTTGGTGAAAACGGCATGGCCGATTCAAAACACCCAAGGCTGGAGGTGTTGGAATATTGCTTGACATGAAAGGAATGATGACTATTGGAAAGTTGAATCATTTCTTACGCCATACAGATTTGTGGAGAGTTTTTTGTCACTCTGAATCTTTATGCATAGATCTAAACATGAAACAGTTGAGGCGGTGTCACTTGTCTCCTTAATTTCAGGTTCAATTTGATGTTTTTATAACGATATTAGATCGTCGATATAATAGAAGATCAAGTTAAACCTTGTTTCGATTTTACCAACCCGAGCAGAAATTCTGATTCATATGCATAGAGAAACGGATCTGCAAGCTGGGGAGCACAGTTGGGATGCCTGTTTCATGTCCAAATTTCAAAAACATGTTACCAATGAGAACGTCCAGCATTCACACATTGTTTTCTCAGTAAACTCCAAATGTCATTTGCTCTCATTTTTGACTAATTGTCTTGATTCTCAGACGACAGATATGTAGGTATACTTCTGTTCACCCTATGAATGAAGGAATGCAGTTTGTCCTATAGTTTGTTTCCGTCTCATAGTAGTGTACAGAACTGAACTGAGATTGTGACAGAAAAACATTTTGAGAATCCATATTGTATTAATTCCGCTTGTCTCAAACACTGTCTGTGAATATAGACAAGGTCCTTCCTTGATAGTTTTAAGAATTATGGTTAATATTTGAGACAGAGATTTGGTTTTACATGGTAAAAGCAGTTATTATATGCTGTTTCGATAAAGCGTCAAATTCCATTTTAACGCAAGTCAAATGAAAATTAACCAACATACCAGTGTCGTTAAGAACGTGTCATCAAATACAATGGTGTCAACGTTTTAGCAAATTATTACATTTTATGATTCGACAGATACTACATATATAATGACGCAACATTAATCAAATTACACTTACAGAATCAGGTGAATGTGGAAATCTGAGGACTATATATGCCACATCGGGACCTCCTCCGCTAGTATTACCTTTCGTATATAGTAGGATTACATCGTGTATCATTATTTGTACAATACCTAAATGTTTACAGTTTCAATATTGATATGTCGTCACGATATGGCTGAAATATTGCCGATGTGACGTTAAATATTAACTCACTCACTCACTCAATATTGATATGTGTGTTTAGATATCACGAACATTTTCTGTTCTTGTCTGCCACAAATTCTCACCAAGTTATCAGGGTGCCGTTCTACAAAACAACCATAGCGCTACGACAGTCGTAAGTCTATGTTAAGGAATGGGAGTTACGATCACCTTAGCCCTAAGATTGCTTTGTACAACGGCATCCTGATGTACATTGACCTAGTCGTAAGCACAGACGAATATATATCCCTTTTTCATTTTGCTGCTGTAACTTCTCTGTCTTTCTACAGCTGTCATCCTTTTTGCAAGCTACATAACGTTATGTACCAGCATACAAATCAATTTCACATAAATTTATGTCGTTGGGGTATTAGGAAGTATTTCATTCTCTTTCATTTTTCGTAAAGCAGTCAAACACAAGAAAACCCTTGTACATAAATATTATCAGTGTATTATAAAAAGTGGGAAAAATCTACGTTAAAACGCATACGAAAACACACATTTGCTGTGTCGTTTTCAAAGCCGGTTTATTATTTGCAGTTCAATTAACACCATCAGAAAATAGAGATTTGGTATACTGCAACCCTACGTACTTTAACAGTCGGAGACTGGCCCAGGGCTCTGCAACAGTATTTCCCGCACGACGATCAATTTGTCATAGCTAACGTTCCAGTCAAGGCAAGAAACTATAAATACCCAGGTTAAAATTAGGGTTTGTTTGATAAACAGAGGATATACTGATGCAATAAAATGAAACATTTTAAAAGGAATAAACAAAATGTACGTACATGAGAGGTTACATTTCCCGTAAGGTTCGGCCTAAAACGCAAATTGTTGCGTTAATGCTTTACGTTCACTGACATTCAGTGTCTTGGGTCTTACAAATTTCACTGTATCGGATAACACGAACCAGTATCTTTACATGACCTCACACAGGCGTATAGGTAAACTTGAACCCAGAATCCTTCATCTTGGCATTCCATATTTGATCAAATCTCTCGCTTTCTGCCACAGTGAACCAATTCTTCCAGTCTCCGATTTCACCTGAAACAGACAACGAATTATCAAGCGTACTGGCAGCAGGCATACGTTTGTCAACCAGCCATATGATGTACATGTACTACAATTACAGCGTGTGTTAAAGTACTGTCGGAAATAGAACAAAACTGTTTTTTCACATTTTCATCTACAATTTAGGTAGTTAATATGTGAAAGTGTGAAATATCTGTTGAACTAAGTTCGGCCTAACTACAGTCTCAGAGGTAGGGAGATAGGAAACGTTAAAAAAGGACTTTACTGATGAGAGATTAGTACAGAAATAAGCAATGCGGGTTTTTTCAAAGTCCAAAGCGACTTTTTTGGAGCAGACCATGGCTTTATGCAAATAAGTGTGCGATGATATTGTAAAACAAATGACACTTTTTGAATGTACATTTTGAAATATGACTTTGCTTAATAATAAAACGATAGCAGACGTATAAAAATAACAACTTTAAGACTGAAACAATTAAGGATATAGATACCATTGAGTCTCACTATCACTATAAAAGAAACAGGAAGGAGGGGTCGTCTCAAAAGCAAAACCAAGACGGGGATAGAGATATTAGCTAAGATAAGATAATCAGTAGAGACATATTCAATAGACAGGAAAAAGCTTAAAAGATATTTGAGATGACCCCTTGTGCCTGTAGGCAGCACGTGCTTTTCATGCCAGGTGAGTCGACGGTCCGTCGTCATACCTGGCTGAGCGACCTTATTGCCATCTATAGTCTGATCTATTGTTTTCAGCAGCTGTTCGTGTTTTTTCTTAGTATTGCCCGATTTTACGAGTAAACATGCTTTTCTGGATATCCTGTTACGCATCCCACTGAACGCCCAGTTAGACCGATGTGGGTTATTTCGACATAAGTTATTTGCAATTGTGTAAATATTAGGGATACAGAGTAACAACCTAAAACAGTTTTTGTCTATTTCCGACAGTACTTTAGCTTCTTCTGGAACACTGAATCTTGGATATCCAATACCACTTAACCATGATAACTTTGGCTGTAATATTGAAACATATTATTTTAGTGTGTTGGTAAAACCACCACCACTACCACTACTACCACTACTACTACTACTACTATTGTTGCTGCTGCTACTACTACTAGTAGTACTACTGGAATGTGTGTTCTGATTTGACAAGTGGATATTGTATATGGGATGGTGGGATGTTTGTGACATGGTCGAGGTCGAGGTCGAGGTCGATGTACAGATGACACAGAACAATGACTGGGCGACCTTCCTGTGTTTTGCTTCATTAATCTGTTGACAGTCAGATATGTCAAGTACAACACACACAAAATGTGGACGTGTTCCAGTGTTTGACTCTTTGCCTTCGACAGTAAACGTGTCCCAGATTAACACGAGCATTTATCGTCTATTCTAATTTTTAAGCAGCAGTTTGGTGATCAATAACTACTTCCCTGAGTAAACGTTCAATGAAGTGGGCTGACAGTCACCCGATATCCTAGGTCACGATCGAGTCAATCAGTGATATGAAGTAGGGATGAGGGATGGTACAAAAATGGTTTAGGTGAATTATGTAACACACATCATTTAGAAACAAACAGAAACAAAAGATAAGTTGTTTCAGTATCCAAAATAAAGTTATTGAAACATTGCAAACTTTTTTGTTTTGTCTTAGTCAGTGCACGTCCTTTTCTGAAGTTGGACGATATCACGCCGACTCCTGAAATACACGCCCAATATAACGCGTGCAAAAGCGTCCAAGTGCGTGCCAGTGGTGCTAGAATGGAGACGAAGCTATTCTATTCTGTATCATTTTTCGGTCCTTTTGTATGTAATTAAAGACAGGTAAATGGTCTAATTTGCTCTGTAGGAAAACCACTATTTAGAATATGTATATATGCGTCCCTACATAATCATGTACACCACTTACTTGATGAGGTGTTAGAATTTTCACCAAAACGTCGCATCTCATTTAAAAAAAGAAGAAGAAAAAAAACATATCTCATGCTTACTTGACCGGTAAATGGTTCATCTATTTAAAGCCAAATATGAGACAGAACAGCTGAAATAGCCAATGTTTCTGGATACATGGTCAGGGGAACGGTCATCACTCAAGATACTCAGAGCAGTGACCGTTGCTGAACTCATTGTGACCTGACCAAATGAAGGACCACGTGCCCCCACCACAGTAAAACTAAGCATTGAAAAATGTTTACGAATCTACAAAATTAATTATCTACATCATGTCATGTATTGGACTTGAAGAACTTGCACACAAGCTTCCAGAATCTAACAAATGCATTGGTTTCTTTTTTTAATACTAGTCAACCTGTTCCCAGGGCCGAAGTGAGAACGTGTAATACCTTTTCTGTAGAATGTCCCTTCTTTGCCATCTGCCCAGATCTTGATGGGAGCGTCACCTTTCATTTCCTGGTCAACCTTTTTCATCTTCTTAAAGGAACAAGCATCCGCAACCTCTTCACAGAACTGGTCCGTTGATGACAGGCCTAGGAATCTGGCGACGTCTTTCACAGTCTTGACAGGGTCCTGGAAATAGTGGTGTGAGAGGGGCGTTCAATGCCTCGACAAATTTTGATTGCGTCGTTGCTTGACCGATCGATTGATAGATTGGTTTATTGACTGATTTATTGATTATTGATTTATTAATTTTCCTTTAGTTTACGGTACAATAATGGCCAGTGTGTGTAGGACAATATAATTTGTGTTCTTTTGAGGCGACTGGGAAAACCGTATGTTGATGGGTAGCGATACTCACAAATTTCATGTCCTCGTAGAACAAATCAAGGACAGGTAACTCTGGTGCAGCTGCCACTTCGGCTTTCCATGATAGCAGATAGGTGGAGTAGGACCCAAACGCCACTAGAAAGTAAAGAAGATAAAGTTGAAACAACGGCACATGTAGCTGAATCACTTTACACTTTATCTGCAAATGAATAGCATCGACCCAAAAAACGATTATCGTAATCCAGACTTGTGACAGTCGTAGTGCTGGGATCGTAACCTCTTGTGGACAGGCCATTGACGTGTTTGTAAATATAAGTTAGGCCGGAACCAGGTCATGTGCCAGGAGCCAGCCATGTGCCAGGAACCAGGTCATGTGCCAGGAACCAGGCCATGTGCCAGGAACCAGTACCAAAAGATCTGATGTTCTTTACTGACGTTGTGGCTTTGTTTAAATGAAATCATTTTAAAGGACATGGACGACTACCAAATACCAAGACGTTCCTCGTACTTCATTGTATTCACATAATAAAACCTTTTTTTTTAAAATCCAGAATCAGTCGAAATCTGCATTAACATCAGCACGATTCCAACTGTCACGAGCTTGTGTTTATCAGTCAAAGTGACGACACCAGGTGTTCGGGAACAGAGGTCCGACAAGTACAATGCATTCGACCAGTAAATCCATGTCAGCTCATTATCTTTGTGCAATCCTACCTAAGAATGAGACACTGCGCCGAGCAAAAGCCCTCAACGTTGGGCAGGAATGGGTTTATCATTGCTTCTGAGATTATTGCTCTAATGTACACACGCACATGGATGTGTCGTAGTTCTCACCAAGACACCGTTCACTGACTCCGAGAAGACTAGCCCATGTTGTATCACCTTAATGCCGAACGTCAGCCAGGGTGACAACAAATACCGATATTAACGGGGATTAATACCACAGATATGTTTCCTGGCAGGCGCTTTATCCACTGAACCAATGAACCAATGGCCAACTTTGATGTAGTATTTTCTGACCGCTTCTTTGTGATTGGATTCCTCTCGCTTGAACCAGCCAAAGTAATTACTTCTGAAAGTGACCATATATATTCCCAGTGATGAGTAAACTTCTTGAACAGGGTTTCTCACTATGATCAACTACTCGCTGTACTTACTTTTTTCTGACAAGAACGCCTCTGTAAACTCCACGAAGTCTCCTTCATAATCATAAGGTGGAGTCATGTCCCTGCAGTGGTTGAAGAAGGACACACAGGCATCTTTAGGATTCCGCATGATCTGGAAACACTTGATCTTCTTCTCCACGACCTGTTTAGGGAGCATGCGCAGATGGAGGTGGGTGTTGAAGACACGTGGCTGTGGCACTGCTTCTATTCCATCTTTGGAGATTAATTCCAACATTCGGGTCTCTTTGACATCCTTTTGATACTTGATGGTACCACTCTTTAGCATCTCGATAACCTCCCACAACCAATGGGTTCCTAAAACAGACAAAATCAACACGAAGGGTAGCCTCAAATAGCAATAGAAATTAGTAGCGTGATATAGTGGAGACACTGTGTGATATAGTGGAGTCACTGCGTGATATAGTGGAATCACTGCGTGATATAGTGGAGACACTGTGTGATATAGTAGAGACACTGTGTGATATAGTAGAGAGTCACTGCTGTGTGATATAGTGGAGTCACTGTGTGATATATAGTAGAGTCACTGTGTGATATAGTAGAGACACTGATATGTGATATATAGTGGAGAGGTCACGTGAGATAGTGGAGACACTGTGTGATATAATATAGTGGAGACTTTACTGTGTGATATAGTGGAGACACTGTGTGATATAGTGGAGACACTGTGTGATATAGTGGAGACACTGTGTGATATAGTGGAGTCACTGTGTGATATAGTGGAGTCACTGTGTGATATATAGTAGAGACACTGTGTGACATAGTAGAGACACTGTTTGATATAGTGGAGTCACTGCGTGATATAGTGGAGTCACTGTGTGATATAGTAGAGGCACTGTGTGATATAGTAGAGACACTGTGTGATATAGTGGAGTCACTGCGTGATATAGTGGAGACACTGTGTGATATAGTGGAGTCACTGCGTGATATAGTGGAGTCACTGTGTGATATAGTAGAGACACTGTGTGATATAGTGGAGACACTGTGTGATATAGTGGAGACACTGTGTGATATAGTGGAGACACTGTGTGATATAGTGGACACTGTGTGATATAGTGGAGACACTGTGTGATATAGTAGAGACACTGTGTGATATAGTGGAGACACTGTGTGATATAGTGGAGACACTGTGTGATATAGTGGAGACACTGTGTGATATAGTGGAGACACTGTGTGATATAGTGGAGACACTGTGTGATATAGTGGAGACACTGTGTGATATAGTGGAGACACTGTGTGATATAGTGGAGACACTGTGTGATATAGTGGAGTCACTGCGTGATATAGTAGAGACACTGTGTGATATAGTGGAGACACTGTGTGATATAGTGGAGACACTGTGTGATATATAGTGGAGACACTGTGTGATATAGTGAAGTCACTGGTTGGTATAGTGGAGACACTGTGTGATATGGTGGAGTCACCGCGTGATATAGTGGAGACACTGTGTGATATAGTGGAGTCGCTGTGTGATGTATAGGATAATGTGAGTGAGTCGCTGATATGACTGAGATATAGCATAATGTGAGTGAGTTGCTGATATGACTGAGATATAGCATAATGTGAGTGAGTTGCTGATATGACTGAGATATGGCATAATGTGAGTGAGTTGCTGATATGACTGAGATATAGCATAATGTGAGTGAGTTGCTGATATGACTGAGATATAGCATAATGTGAGTGAGTTGCTGATATGACTGAGATATAGCATAATGTGAGTGAGTCGCTGATATGCTGAGATATAGCATATTGTGAGTGAGTTGCTGCTGAAGCAGTGTTAAGACTCCGGTTGGGACATGTCGTGTACCTACCACATTTGGGATATGCACATATAAAGATGTCATCGTCTTTCAATTCGGCTTCTTTGATACTCCTGAGGTGGTCTGCAGGCCGAACTCCCTTTAGCACAGAGGGATGCACTATGTACAAATACACCCCATCATGCTTGAAACAGTAGAATCCGTGGCCTTTCGAATTTCTCAGATCGGGTATCTCCCCATGGTCGGGATCCCTGGAAAATACCGAGATATCGGAAAATCGAGATATATTGGTATTGAGCTCGATAACAAGCACGCACGCACGCACGCACGCACGCACGCACGCATGCAAACACACGTACGTACGTACGCGCACACACACACATGCAAACATACATACATATATACATACATACATACATACACATACATACATGCATACATACATACATACATACATACATACATACATACATACATACATACATACATACATACATACATACATACATACATACATACATACACGATCGCCTGAGAAGTAGGCCAAGAATCACATACATACATACATACTAACCATACATACATACATACATACATACATACATACATACATACATACATTTACTCACTCACTCTGGGCGGTGGGGTAGCTTTGTGGTTAAGGCGTTCGCTCGTCACGCCGAAGACCCGGGTTCGTTCCACATGGGCACAATGTGTGAAGCCCATTTCTGGTGTCCCCGCCATGATATTGCTGGAATATTGCAAAGAGCGGCGTAAAACGTAGGTGATAATTTTAAACTCCCTCACTCACTCAAATATTGCTTGAGTGCTGCGTTCAACAACAACCAAACAAACGTACATCAAAGTCTGTTCTAGGAGTCTGTTCTAGTTGTTGTTTGTCGGTGGCACACCCAATCCTTATTACGTACAGAATTCTTGCATAACGTATTGTCCAAATGAAAGTCGACACCAGAGACGACGTACAGATCACACCGACCCAGATCCTAAGGCAGCCTGAGACGACATACAGATCACACCGACCCAGAGGCGAAGGCATACTGACATATTGCTGATATTTACGTTGTATCAGGAAACATGTGGTAATGCAGTATATCTGAGGAAACAGTACTGAGAAACAGGTCGATAACATCAGGAAAGACTTACATCACGAACTTTTCATCGCTGTTATCTGACGACATGTTGGAGACCTATATCGGTGCACCAACTCGGAGAAGACTGATATGCGCGAATCTAGGTCAGACAACCGCACAGCGGCATGTCACTTAAAGTTAATGTCATTTGTTTTATATATCACATGACTATATTGTTGCATTCTAGAAGTTGGTGAGTCAAAAATGAAGCATATAACCTTATGGATGACAACTACTTGTTGATTGCATAGCGCAACGTTTCGATGTAGATTCTTACACCGTTTAAAGCACTTGCTCATACTATAGCCGGAGTTGTACCATGGATACTGCTGTAAGTAGAGGTATATACATGTATATCTTATAGATAAGGAGTGGGTTTAGTCACAACGCAGCCCAGCTCTCCTATGTACTATTGCAGTCCTCCGGGATATGATTGGTTGATCTCAAGCCCTTTGATAGACACAAACACAGTTTTTCTGATAAATTAACATTTGGTTTAAAGATGTTTGTTTGTTTGTTTGTTTTAAATATATTTTATTCATGAGAAAAGGATTGGGTACAAGTTATACAACTTAGAACACCCTCTCCCTAGTATTTACATAGTATTATTTACATTCATTCTACAAGATGGACAGAGAAGAACAGAACAGAAATATGGGGAAAAGAGGAACAATTACAACAATTAAGAAAATCGTTTTGAATGACAAATATATGTTTGAACAATTTTAAATATGTTTTGATTTATGTGAACAGTCAGATCTGCATTGCCATGTAATAGTAACTCATAGGTTATATCCACATTTGTAATACTGCGTAAATTAGTCATCACGGTAGTTCTCTGTACTATATATAATTGACAGTCAAATAGGTAATGATAAGAATTTTCACAAACATTTCCACAAGAACAACTTGGGTTATCTCTTAAACCAGCACGGAATAGATCATAATTCAACTGACTACACATGTAACGTAGTTTTGTAAGGATGATGTTAGTGATTCTCGGTCCAGAATCAAAATATTGAGGAGCAGTTTTATGTTTTATAACAATATTCGATATAAAAGAATTCAGTGACTCGCTTTTTCTCACTTCAACTGGAAGTTGATTCCACATTCTAATTGTGGATGAAAAATAAGAATCATACGAAAATTTTAATCGCGAGAAAGGAAGTGAGACATCATCAGAGTTGCGAAGATTATAGCTACATTTAGATGCTACGTCCCCAGGAACAAGATCAATAAGGTACGATGGTGCCATATTATTCTGTATTTTGTAAAAAAAGGCGAAGTTTACGCTTTCTCCTACGTTCTGCTAAAGATTCCCAACCAGTTTCATAATACAGATGTTCATGATGAGTATATTTAGGTAAACCCGTTACAATTCTTGCTGCTTCTAATTGCAGATGTTCTGATTTATTTGCTTGATATTTAGCACATCCATCCCATACTTCACACGCATATTCAAAATGGGGTCTTATGAACATTACGTAAATTCTATTCAATACAGAGCGCGGTAATAAAAATTTGAGTTTACGTAGAGAAGATATCATTTTTGAAGTTATTTTTACAATGTTATCAATATGGTCAGACCATTTACAATCTTTTGAAAATGTTAATCCCAAATGTTTATGATTATTAACTGTTTTGACATAAACCCCGTTAAAGTAGAGATTTAGTGCATCAACATTCTTTTGCAAGGAGAAAAAGATTGCCTCAGTTTTATCAGGATTGTATGTTATAAGCCACCGCTTTGCCCAAGCCCGCAGCCTTTCCAAGTTTGAATTCAAATCTCTTTCAATGAATAGACGATCACGAGAAGATGAGCCAAGAGACGAATCATCAGCAAATAATCGTGTCAAGCAGTTTAAGTCATCAGCAATATCATTGACATAAACAAGAAATAAGAAAGGACCGAGGACTGACCCTTGAGGGACACCAGCTTGTAAATACCCCGGCTTGGATAGGGCTCCATTCACAAAGACGCTTTGTGAACGATTACTTATGTAATCTGCTAGCCAATTTAACAATGAACCATGAATTCCGTATTTTTCTAATTTCAACAATAAACCTTTATGCCACACACGATCAAAAGCTTTAGAGACATCACAGAAAACCATACAATAGTGTTTTTTATCATCTAAAGCCGCACAGATTTGGTCATATATATTTCAATTAATTGATGGACAGTTGAGTGACCAGACTGAAAACCTGATTGATACTTATACAATAATCGATTTGCATGAAAATAGTTGTACAGACGTTTAAACATCACTCTCTCAAACACCTTGCCCACACAACTGATCAAGGATATAGGCCGATAGTTAGAGGCCATTGAGGGATCACCCTTTTTAAATAGGGGCATTACATTTGCTTCTTTCCACACACTTGGATATATACTACTTTTTAATGACTGATTAAATAACATGCACAGTGGGATACTTATTGAATGTACAACATTTTTAAGAAACTTATGACTGATTCTGTCCGGACCAGAAGCTTTTTTAAGATGTAAACATTTGATTATATCGGACACTTCATTTACATCAATTGTTACACTATCTAAAACAGAATCAGTGCGTTTGTCAAAGAATGGCATATCTGTGTTTTCTTCATCAATACTAGATATAGACTGAAAATACTGATTAAGTTTCTCTGCTTTCTGCATATCAGTGAATAGCGTTGGGTTTTCATCTGCATCATTTTGTCTTAAAGACGGAATGCAAGTGACTGATCCTGAATCATTAATAAAAAACCGAAGTAGTTTCCAATAGGAATTTTTATTACTAGAATACAGATCAAGTAAAAAATCGTTTGTGAGACTGGCATAAAATGAATCCTTTGCATAACATTTCATATTATTTACTTTATTTCTTTGTTTCTTATAAGCCAAAATATCTACTAGACGGTTTGTCTTTTGGGCCTTTTTTCTCATTCTATTTCTTTTTCTACATTCTCTCCGAAGTTCTGAAGTAAACCAAGGTTTATCAGTTGGTGGAATGGTGACCGTTCTAGAAGGAATACACACAAATATAAAACGGTTGAGATGCTTATAAAACAGTGCACAGGCTTCATTAACATTCCTGCAACTACTAAATATGTTATACCAATTTGTCTCATTAATCATAGCATTGAGTTTCTCATAGTCACCTCTTTCATAACATAATACGTTTCTTTTGTAGGCTAACCTGGTATCTACATGAGCATCAACGGTGATATACGTACCTTTGTGGTCACTTATACTTTTACATAAATCTACAACACCACTGTCTAAAACATCAACATCTTCCGATATAATGATGGGATCAAGCAGTGTGCTCGTTGTTTTTGTTACTCTCGTTGGGTTTTTAATAACATTTTTCAGATTTATCCTGGCTATTAAATCATGCAGATACGTGTTATTATTCGACAAAAGGTTTGCAATTAGATCCCCAACAACGGTAATTTTACTCGAGATATCTAATGCAGTCTCAATGCTACTATCAAGCCGACTCCAGTATTCTAAACCTTGGTATTGTGGTCTGTAGGTGACACATAACACAAGCGGCTTTTGTGGGATAAATACTTTAACCCATATAGATTCATCACAGTTGTTTTCAAGATGACATAATCTCGTAAAACAGAGAGCGTGATTGATATACATGATAACTCCACCACCGAAAGAATTTCTGTCTTTCCGTATGGGTTCATGAAAATTCACCCATTTGAGCGTATCAGTATCAACATCGGAATCTAAATGGGTTTCAGTTAGGCAAATAATGTCATATTCAGATAAATATTCAGACAGGTATTTTAGTTTGTGGCGTAAACTTCTCACATTGAGATGGAAGATTGAAAGTGATTTGTCATAGTCTGCACGTGAAAATGGCCCTGGATTTAACTCTACGTCTCCCGCAAGCTGAATTAACAATAGCAGATGTAATACTACATTGATACTGACAACTTGCGACTGCCGCAGACAAAGAGTAACTAACACACAGCTTGATTTACATGAAATTGTTAAGATAGTATACATGCAGGAGAGCTCAGTGAGAAAATGTTCTCTGAACGATTTGCAGCTCATGCTGAAAAAATAATGTTTTACATTCATACGCAGTTGTTTGCAAAGTCGGACACAATTGAAGACACCGATCGCCACACGATGTTGCATAACATTATTACCCATTGTTTAAACAGACTGGTTACAGTGTGACAAGCGGATCGGATGTCAACAATAGTGGATACATACATGCATAATTGTGACATATGACTGAACGGCAATGCAGATCTGAGGTTGTGCTTGGATACAATAATGGAATATGGATACTGAGGAGAAATAACAGATTTGGTACAAATAATGAGAAAGTTGTGAGACCGTGGTCCATGGGTATATAGTTCGGTCTCTGGACGATGCGAGATAGACAAAGAATGACCAGGGCCAACTATAACAATCTTTTATTTGTGTGATGGATGAAGTGACGGTGTACCTGCATACAAGAAATGAGAAGGTCTCTCAAGGAGTGACAGGTACACACTCGCACATTTAACAACATGGACAATACAATTAGGCCAATCATAACATTGTATGAATATTATAGTACTACATCAATGCACTGTACTGTACCAATACATGTGCCAATTATGACTTTACCTAATCAAATGGAAAACTGTCATGGCCGACGCTAACAAGCACATGGCCATTGGTAAGTTTATAAACAGCCTAGATATATAAATGTTACTTTAATTTAAATTATGTTCTCGTTAATAGTTAATAGTTAATAGTTAATAATTGTAATAAATGTTTTAACCTGTTTAATAAATTTAATAAACCTATGCCTAACTTATCTCTAACTGAAACTGTGAAAAGTTGACTCACCTGCATACAAGAAATGAGAAAGTCTCTCAAGGAGTGACAGGTACACACTGAGGAACAATCTACAGGTGAGCAACAAGAAAACTATGGCAAACCAATAGGGCCAATCACAGCCAAGAAGAGAATTGTTTGGCACAAGAAACCAATCAGTGGCAGGTAAGTGGCAATAAGGTGAGTCTATTATTTATAAAAAGAAGATTGAAGTGAATTGGGATGATTCCCAATTCAGAAAAAGAAGAGGTTGAAAATTAGAAGAACTGAGGAACCAAGATGGTGACCAGTGTTAGTAAACAAACA